AAGGCCAGAACTCAGAGAGGCTAGCATCGCTAGCTCAGCTGGTAAAAGAGAACAATTGGAAGAGGGGTGCCAACGCTTTCCTTCACCAATTAAAATAAGGCCAGAACTCAGTGAGGCTAACACCGCTAGCTCAGCTGGTAAAAGAGGACAATTGGGAGACAATTGGGAGAGGGGGCGCGAACGCTCGCCTTCACCAATTAAAGACAAGGCTAGAACTCAGAGAGGCTAGCACCGCTAGCTCAGTCCAACAATCTATGAGGTTGGAGAAAATGACCGGGAGAGGGTGCGAAAAACGCTAGCCTTCACCAATGAAAACAAGGCCAGGAACTCAGCTGGCTACGTAATAAGCAAACTTCAGAGCACAGTCCAACCGACCACGCGGTTGGAGGCCTCCAGTAAACAGGAGCGGAGCGAATGCTACCGCTAACCAATAGCAAAATATAAGCAAAACACTACTTACCAGTGTTAAATCACACACATAGTAGTCATAAACAACGTCGGAGCACAGTCCAACTGACCACGCGGTTGGAGGCCGCCCAACAAACGGGAGTGGAGCAAACGCTACCGCTAACCAACAGTAAAGTATAAGAAAAAAACACTACTCACCAGTGTTGAATCACACATAGTAGTCAGACGCTGTAAGTTGGGAGAGGCGGAAACCGCCGTAGTCCCCAACGAATCAGCAGAAAATACCTTTGAACAGGGTTAAACCGTTGCAGCCCCTAGGAGGGCGAACACACTACTCCCGCCGACGGGCAATCGGGCTTCCAACGACGGTAAAAAGTTCAAAAAAGGTCCAAAGGGCTGAAGCCCTGAATTGAACCACGCGCGAGAAGAAATAAGGAGGAGCAGAGCTGCGGATGACGTTGGGCTATATAGCCTCTGATTGGTCATCCGTGTCACACCTGTGACTCCGTTGGTATTATTACTCGAACAGCACATGCGCGAAGGGAAGTGCTTTCAGCACCACCCTCTGGCGGTCAGGAGGGAGGAAATAGAACTTAGATGACCTTATTGTTAAGTTTTGATCTAAACTGCATCAAACTAATTTGATTTGCATTTAAACTAAGAAGTTTAAAACAAAACTAAGCAGTAATGGACAAGTGTTCCTTCAGTGAGTGCTCGGCCTTTATTCAATAAAACATTTACTTTGTGCTTCTGGTTGACGTCACAGCTTGCTGATCTGGACGATGAATTTGCTGAGCTGCTGCTGACCAGTTTTAGTGATCATTTCGATGCAGTTCCTTCCATCAGAGTGAGTCATTTATTGCTTCTAACCAGACAATAATGGTGTACATCACAGTGAACACACAAAGCTGCCGTCGCTAAATGTTTCCAGCTCCAAGAGGCGGTGCGACGACTCACTTTGGCTCGTAAAGGAGTCCCTGTGCTCTGCGGCAGCGCGCTGAGAAACAAAGGTGTGCAGCCTCTCCTAGACGCCATCACTGCGTACCTGCCTGCTCCGAACGAACGGCACCATGATCTGGTGTGAGTAAACCTTTGAATCTACATCACCCAAACTGCTACTTCCTCTGTGTTTGTCATAAGATGGAAACTTTCTGCATCACTTCTAGTTTGTAGCTTACAGGAAGAGATTTTTTTTGCATTCAATTTAAAGTTACGGTACTTTAAAAGATGTTGAATTCGGCCCTCATGGCTGCTATCAGGAGCTTTCACTCATCAAGGAGAAAAATAGGTTTGATCATGTTCGCTGCAGCATAAATGTTGCTTGTTGTTCATAATCTGACAGACGGTGGTACAAAGATGACTTGTGTGCGCTGGCCTTCAAGGTTCTTCATGACAAACAGCGTGGTCCTCTAGTTTTCCTCAGGGTATACTCAGGTACTCTGAAACCACAGACAGCCATCTACAACCTGAACAGGAGCAGCACGTAAGTTGTTTCAGTCACATGACCTTCACAACCCTGTTAACTTAAAGCAAACTGACAGACTTTGTGCTTCCAGTGAGAGGATGAGTCGACTGCTGGTACCTTTTGCAGATCAGCATGTAGAGATCCCTTCAATGACCGCAGGAAACATTGCACTAACTGTAGGACTGAAGCAGGTAGGACATAAAGCCTTAACCTCATTTAGTTATTTATTGATTTAAAAGTGTAAATATCAACAGTCGGTCCACAATAATAATTAAAAAAAGCAGCAGGACCAAAGAAAAAAGTAAATACAACTCCTTTTCCTATTTATAAAACCACAAAATACATATGGCCGTCTTTGTTTGGACATTCTTCGAAGACAAACCCATAATGCAAAATCAACCCTTAATGTTTACCATGTTCTTCTAATATTTTTGTTCTCTTTATGATGTCATGTTAAAAAAGATTTTCAATTGATCTTTCACATCATTCCATATTTTTAGTTTATATTCTACAATAATATTTTTCTTTAATGACCTTCCTGCAAATACAAATAAATAATTTTTGTTCAATGATTGGCTATTAATACAAAAACTCATTAAATTATTTGGCAATCATCTAAAAAAAGTTAAGTCAGGTCCTCTGGATGTTCAAAAAAAAGTTTTTTTGTTTGTTTTTTGAACGTCCAGAGGACCCGACTTAACTTTTTTTTAGATTTTTCTACCTGGATTATTGAGCATGCATCAGGATATTTGGCAATCAATTGTAGCTTTGCACATAAAGAAGTCAATCTAGAAATGAAGTACATTTATTTACATGTACATTAAATTACCTATGTTTTAGTTGTTTCCCTGCTTTGACACACCTGATTTGAATGATTGGCTTCTGCAGAACTTGAGGAAGTAATTAAATCACTGAATCAGGTGTGTTGGAGCAGAGAAACAACTAAAACATGCAGGATGGTGTTCCTCAAGGACCAGGGTTGGGAACACTGCAGTTCATTGAAGTTTACAGACATTTATTTCTGCTCAGCTCCTTTCAGGTCCCGTCACATCATTTCAGTCAGGTTGAGGTCTGGACTTGGGCTGAGCCGGGGCAACAGTTGGTTCATGTGTTTATGCTGATATGCTGTGTCTGTTTGTTTATTGTTTGTATGTTTGTTTGTTTTTCAAAGGTGCTGTTGTGCATTATTGGTAAACCTTGTGTAGATTTATCTGAAATAATAGTGAACTCAAGAAGTAAATAAAATAACTGTTTTTGTTTCTGGTGATTGATTAAATGCTATTGTTGGTCACAAGTTCAATCGAGTACAAAATGTCAGGAGAAGCTGTGGCAAAAGTCTAAAGTATGTGTATAAGTACTTCAGGGGCTGGTGACCCATGCAGTTTTGGACCTCTGAGTCCAAGCATGCATAAATCCCAGAACAGAAAACTGAATAGGAGCTTTACAATCTTTAGCTGCTCTTTTGCTCAGTCCATGATTCAGCAGTCCAAATGAAATGTCCTTGTTTGCAAGCAGTCATATTATGCTTTTATTCACAAATATGAAATGAAATGTTGATGTAATATTTCACTAACATCTCAACTTTGGTCTCATTTGTTCAAAAACGATTGTTTCAAAAGTCACGTGGTTCTGTCAGATGAAACTTTACAAACTCAAGTCGTGCTGCCATGTTCACATTAGAGGGAATTTTCATTGAACCCTCCCAAACAAGCCATGGTCAATCTTTTTCTGATTGGCCAGTCATGACCTTTTACTTTGATTATCTTGAGGCCTTTAAAAACTGGGATGAAGCCCGTTTTTTATTTAGTTTTTAATTTTTTAGTAATTTCTCTGATGGTTACAGTCTGACTTTGGGGTAATTTTGCTGGACGTCCACTCCTGGGCAGATTGTTAGCTGCCTAGTAAAGACCAACTCATCTTTATTATGCTGTTATGTAAAATTGTAGAGCTGAAAGAAAGTGCACTTTCTTTTTAGCACGACTGCATACGTTCAAACGTCTGTACGACACAAACAGAGAATTAAAAGTAATGCAACGTAACGTGAAGCGTTGATAGTTCTAAAACACTCTGCTTTATTCAAAACTGCATTTTACAAACTTTTCACTTTTCATATTATGGTTTCCAAATAAATAAATAAATAATCTAAAAGGAGCCCTTTTCAATCTTTACTTTTAATTTTTAACTTTGATCTGAAACTTCCAACTGTAATCACTGTCAAGTCAACTTTATTTATAAAGCACATTTAAAACAGCAGCTGTTACCAAAGTGCTGAACAGTACAAATCAATGGCAGTAATTTAATGGAAAAAATAAAAATGATAATGTTGAAAAAATAATAAAGGCATCAAAAGAACAACATACAAACACAGAACAATAAACTAGTAAATCAAATCACAGTGTGTTAAAAGCCAGAGAAAACGGGTGTTTTTAGCATTTCAAAAAGCTCAAACATTTCATAAATTAGATTTTCTATTTTTTTTAAAAATCAGCTCCTTCCACAAAACTATAAATTAATCATGTGTACACCTGCAAAGGATTTGTAGAATTTTAAAATTTCACAAATATCGAAATATAAAAATGGTTTATGGCCCAGCACTGAAGTTTGAAAGACGTTCAACTCCACACTTTTTATACCTTAAACATTTTGTGTTTTCTGAAGTTCTGCGCGTTTTCTTACCTCAGACAGTCACAGGAGACACCATCGTTTCATCCAAAGCATCAGCAGCAGTTGCAGCTGGCAGAGCCCAAGATGAGCGTCAAACAGAGACAGGCTGTGGAGATCGAGACAACATCATCCTCTCTGGAGTGGAAGTCCCTGATCCTGTCTTCTTCTGCACCATAGAACCTCCCACCTTGGCCAAACAGGCGGGTCAGTTCCAGTGGGAACAGTCCTAAATCTATTTATAGTCTGCTTCTGCTGCGCTTCAAACACTGGATTATTTATGTTTGTTTCACTAAAAGATCTGGAAAATGCCCTCCGCTGCCTCCAGAGGGAAGACCCCAGTCTAAAAGTCCGAGATGACCCCGATTCTGGTCAGGTAATCATGTCATCGAGTTAGTTAGGATTAGGAATACGTTTTAGTGGAGTGTCTGCCACGCTATCTTCTCCATCCTCAGACCATCCTGTGTGGGATGGGAGAGCTGCACATCGAAATCATCCATGATCGAATTAGAAGAGAGTATGGCATCGAGACTCACCTGGGACCGCTGCAGGTGGCCTACAGAGAGACCGTTCTTCATGAGGTTTCAACTACAGGTACCACTGTCCGGTTTAGGTTGATACTTTTCAGTGATTACACTTGTCAGCTAGAAGCATCTGCTTCGTTTTTTGATTTTTGCTGCAGAAACTCTGGATCGGACAGTGGGGGAGAGACGGCACGTTGTGACGGTGCAGCTGACAGTCAGGCCTGCAGACGACTCCTCGTGTGACTCAGCACTTACAGAGGAGCTGGAGACACAGCTGTCAACAGAAATGAAAGAGGCTATGCAGAATGGAGTGCACAGCTCATACCTTCAAGGTAAAACTGACGCCACTTACAGTATTATTAAAATCAACGTCCTACTTTTCAACACCAGAAATGTTCAGAAGGTGTATATTTGGAGCAAAAAAAACTCGTCAGGTGGAGCTTTGTTCTGGAGCAACGTCAACATTTAGTTCTGTTTGCATTAGGCTTGCTGTTAGCTCAATATCTTTATGTCAGAATAGACACAGACACTGACAAGGCCAAACTTTTTCTATCCAATGAAGAGAACATTTATTACTTGCCCGTGTGTATTTGCGCATCCACTGGATATTCAGTTCCAGGTATTGCCAGTTGGCAGTAGACTGAAGAAAAGGTCACAGCAGTCAGAAGCAGTGGCTGCTCCTTGTGGACATGGTTTGATCAATAACATGAGCGTTACAAACATCCAACTGGTTTACATTCAATGTTTGAATTTAAAGACTGAACTTGTCTCAAGTCTTTTATATGAGTGTAAGATTAACCTGTCTTTTGTTGCTTAAAGTCTGATCTTTGGTACTTTTTTTTATATATAAATATTCAGGCCCGCTGCTGGGATATCCTGTACAGGGTGTGTCCACACTGATCCGCCATGTTGCCACGGAACCAGGGACATCTCCTACCATGGTGTCCGCCTGTGTGTCTCGTTGCATGTTAAAGGTAAAACCATTAAAGGTTCTCCTCCTTTAAGATTTAAATAAAACTAGAAAAATGCATTTTAAAGCCTAAAAACGCAGAATTAAATAAAAAACAAAACTAGCAAGATACTACTAAAAATTAGGGCTGAGTACCGAACCGAGGTTCTTTTATAGCACCGACCGAACTGCACCGGTCGGTGTATGGATTGAAACGTCACTCTTTTTTCGGTGTCAAGTTTCGGTATTGGCTGTAACGTGTCACGTGGTTTCAGCACGCAGACAGGTACAACACCAGACATACGACAAACAGACTACGTGTTTACACCCAGAGCTGTATTGAGCTGCCCTACAGCTTGTATGCCTGTGGTGATGGTTACGCCCACAGACGGGGTTCACGTGTGCAGCACGTGTGTTGTCGAAGTCATTCGACAACACACGCAACTTTCTGCTTGCAAGCAGAAAGTTGCTCCGTGTTTTTCTGCAAGAAGAAAGACAGCAGCCTCCCCTCCTCCTCCTCTCAGCATTAAAGTCAGCCTGTGAGTGTTGAACGGCCTGATTCATCATCTCTACGGTCCGACTCCTCTTCATCAAAGAACTCCGAGGATGGAGCTGTGCCTGTGTTTCAGCTGGTGAGTTTACGTTTGTTAACGTTACTGCAGCTTAACATGTACATCGCTGAGAGTTAAACTAGGATCCATGTGACGCTAACTTTAAGATATTGGTGTGTAAATTTATTTTATCTACGTAGCTAGCTAAACTCAGAAGCTAACTAAAGATTGACACTAACAGATAAAGCTTGTAAAAATGTGCTCATCCATCGAATCAGCTGCTTAAACAGTTCAGCTAATGTTCACTGAAAAAGTTCAGTTTGTTAATGTTAATGTTCTCCTCACAGGAGGTTCTGACCCTGATGTGACGAGGACAGAGGCAGTCAAAAGAAAAGTGAGGTGGGGGCCACAGGACAGTCACAAACTTTGTTGTTAAAGTTTGCTGTCTTTTCTACAGTGGAGGCTCCATGATGGAGGTAAATTAAACTGTAAAGGATGTTGTTGACCAGTTAAGCTTTTATCTCTCAGCCTAGATAATGTTTTTGAGCAATAATAACACAACCATGTTATTGTTGATGTTTTGTTCTAATGTTAATTAGGGAGATGATCAGAGCCCTAAACCCCAGAGAAGATTCAGGCAGAGACACAGAGGTGCAGATGTCTGCATCAACCCTAACCTCAGTGAATCCAGTGATCTGCTGGTGGAATGTGGGGGTCAATATGTCAGTGCTATCAAACTGACAACCAGGGATCTGTGTGTGCAACAATTATCATCTACACTCTCAAGAGTGAACATTTTCTACTGCTGGAGACACCATCAGCCAGGAGGGGGCTTGTTTGTGTCCAGAGAAAGCAGACATGTTGTTTCTGAAGAAAAACTTTTAAGTGAAAAGGTCCTCAGTGTGTAGCAGTGAGCATTAGACACTGACATGTCACTTGTTGTTTGCAACTGTTATTTTTTTAACTGGAAATTATTTGTTTATTTTTATGTAAGAAAACTGCTTGGAATAGAAATACCAAAGTTAAAAAATAAAACTCACAATTTGTACTGTAATGTGTAACGTAATTTTATTCTTGTTAGAATTAATAGTAATTACAAAATTGATACTGAAAAAAGAACCGTCCAGGAACCGACACCGAAGTGAAGGTACCGACACCGGTACCGATACCAATTTTTTTTAGAAAGGTACCCAGTCCTAATAAAAATTGCAAAATGCGAGCTAAAATGAACATAATACTATCTAAAAACTAAATGCAACAAAAATAGCCAAATGTTAAAAATTGTAATGTTAGCAAGAATTTAGGTAAGAAGTTGGTAATAGAAAATCTTAAATGAGCTATATTCAGCTAAAACTGCGTAAGGCTAGCTAAAAGCTAAAAATATTTGAAGTATGCAGAAGTAGTTAGATTGGAAGAAAAAAACAATATGAATGCTTAATCAGCATTGTCATAAAAACACTCCAGAGTTGTTATTTTGGATTCAGGCACTGAGCCTCGCAGGCGGCCAGGTCCTGGAACCAGTGATGTCCCTTGAGGTGATTGTGCTCGAGGAACACCTCAGCTCTGTGCTGGGGGACTTGGCCCAAAGACGAGGGACGATCCGAAACATCCAGAGTCGCCATGACAACAAGGTGCTGCTGGCTACTGTGCCCTTAGCAGAGACGATGGTGAGAGGACGCTCAGACGGTTCAGTTATAGATGTGTGTATTTTGGGTTTATTTTTTTAAACATTTCCTCTTCACATGTTTCACACATTAAAGGGCTACTCAACCAAGCTGCGAACTTTGACCTCTGGCAATGCTACCTTCTCACTGGAGCTGGACACCTACGAGGCCATGAACCCTCAGGACCAGAACTCACTGCTAAAAAAGATGTCTGGTCTGCTGTGATCCTCAGACGCTTCTGCAACTGAGACTTTCTGTGAACCTCAGACCTCTGAACACTCTGGAGGGGTTTGAACACAGAACTATTATGACAAATAATTAGCCGCTTCATTTCTGTACTGGTATGATTATTATCTCCTGCTGCCATGAAATGTGTCAGTCATGCCTGAGCAAATATCTCAAGAACCACCAGTGGCGGCTGCTCAACAGAGGGCGCTAGGGTGCCTCCCCACCACTGACACCACTCACCATATTACATTGAAGACTTAAAAAAATTAAATAAAAATGAAATAATAAAATAAAAATATTCAGAAATATATGTATTTTTTTTAGTTGTGTAAGATAAATATTTTATAGTTAATGATGAGTTGTTTCTTTCAAAAACATTGTCTTTGATGTGGTGACGCATTTCCGCCCTGGGAGCACTAGCACATAGACTCTCATTAAAAGTTGGACATGCAAAGTTAGCTCTTCTTTGTTACAAGAGACAGGAAGATTCTGGGCGCACTACTCAAACACCCTGAGTACCAGCGCACTGTATGGATCATGCTTCTGGTCCTGCCGTCCCGGTACAGATTTATTTATTTTATGTCCCGGAACAGATCGTGCAGTGACAGACACAACCAGGCTATGTACAGTATGAAATAATTATTATTTAGCTGTCAGACAGCAGCACATTTAAAAGAAGCGCAGCATTAATTTTGATCAGGCAGATAGTTGCATTCGGCGCTGGGTTTGTTGAAGCCAGCTGGGGTCCTGTGTAGAAATGAGAGGACTGGCGTGGACCACCACCTCAAGCGACGTGGAAAATTCTAACGGCTAGACCTGTCACAATAACAAATTTTGCTGGCTGATTTATTGTCTCAGAAATTATTGCAACAAATTCAATTCAGTTTATTTATATAGTGCCAAATCACAACAAGTTGTCTCAGGGCACTTTACAGGAACAAATGATATTGTTTGAAATATGACAATAATTAATCATTATTAGTAGCAATTGTCAAATTTAAGAAGAAATGTTGGTTAATTTGTTTTGCATGTCACACCTTTTTTTGGCCACTGGATGACAGTATAAGACTGTTTGAACCAAAGGATGGATAGTGAGGGAGCAAGCAGCGTGTCTAAGAAAAATAGGAAGGAGGCCCCTTGACGTGACATGGGCTGTCTCTGTTTGCTTCTCAAAATGGCAGAAGCTCGTGTGGTTTGAGCTCTTTAGCATTTTCCACACAAAGCTTTTAATAAAAAATCAGTAAACAAGTTCTCAGTTTCTTTTTGCAGAGAAAAACTTTTTACACTAAGGCACAGGTTTCAACCGTGAATTTTTGGAGCTTTGACAAGACGGAGGCTTTTTCCCCGAGGTCGGCCTGTTAGCTTAGCTCGTAGCTTAGCTTCTCAGCTTAGTTGCTTTTAACGATCCAAAAACAGGATTTTGGATCGTTAAAACAGATTTTAAAGAGAAAAGAGAAAGGGAGGGGTCAGTGAAGAGCACTGGAGTTGAGCCTTTTGTCATCCAGTGTCTTCAGTAGAAAGAGAGACACAAAGAAACGATAAAGCAGATAAATAAAAATGAGGTGGATAATTTTCATTTATCATGTGATTAATTGATTTATTGTGACAGGCCTACTAACGGCAGTCATCATTAATGTGCCATTATTACCATATAATTGTGCCATTAATGTATTGTTTACACAGGTAATGAATGAGTTAATAAAGCGCGCAGACGTGAGTCAACCGATGAGTCAACCGATGAGTGTGATGTGTGCGGAATGTCTTGAACACATATATATATATATATATATATATATATATTTATTTATTTATTTATTTCATTTACCCTTTATTTATACAGGTAGTCTCAGTGAGCCACGAGAACTCATTTTCAAGAGAGACCTGTTTAGGGAGCAGATGGGGGTTAAGAGTCTTGCTCAAGGGCCCAGAGTGGCGCGAATGAAGGTGGGGGCAGGTGTGGGTGCTTGACCTATCCCACCCACATTTTTGATGTCGGTACCGGGGCTCGAACCGGCGATCTTCCGATCAAAGGCCCACCTTCTCTAACCTCTGCGCCACCACTCCCCATATAGTTTGGTACATGTCTATTTCGGAGTTCTAGCCCCCACTGGTGGAAATTCCACCAGCTGCCACTGTGAACCACTGGACAGATGACTGAAAAGGTCAGTTTACCAGGTTGAAAATTAAAAGTCATCCCCAGCTAATACTCTGCTAACAGACTGCATGACATCTTTATTTAAAACTTTGGTAAACAGTGCAATGAACAATATGCAACATTTTTGAAAAATATTCAAAACCTCTGGAGAAGTTTCGTGAATTTTATTCACAATTTTTTAGAAACAGTCATGAAAATACAAAGTATTCATAAAATTATCTCTTTGATATGACAACATGAAATCAAGAGTTACAACAATAATCAGCTTTAAATCAGTGCAAGCTCCGAGAAGGCAGCTTATCGTTAGATTTTCTTTTAAAACCCAAACCTGGGGTTGATTGTGTGCAAACGTTCTTCCCTTTTCTGTCCCCAGGTCAGCCTCTCTTGTTCTCAGAGACCTTTGTATTCTTTCGGACAATAACTGGTGAACAGTGGCTGAACTGGGATTCCACGCCTTACAGAGAGGAAACAACGATGTTATAACACAAGTGTTGCATAATTACATTGTTTGCAGACTCAGTACTTACTCCACCAAACGGCAGCGGTGCACAGAGAGTCTGTTGAAGGCATCACCAATGTCCGTCACATCTTTGGCACTCCACAGCCGCTCTGCCACAGCACAGGCACGGGGCCTGAGTTAACAAGGAGTTAAAGAAAGGAGGGAAAACACGCTCATAATCTGTCCTTGGTAAATACAGCACCGATTAGGGCATTGTGTAAAATGTAAATAAAAAAGAATGCAATGATTTGCTAATTGTTTTATTCACAATTCTCATGTTTCTCACTGTGAAGATCCCATCGTTTAACATCTGGGAGCTGAGGAGAGCAGTTAGAGCTTTTGGAGGGGAATGTTGTCCTCCTCTTTGCTGATTTTTGTTTGATGATGCAACACATATTTTCAATTGATCAAGTCTAGACTGCAGGCAACCAGTTTCACACAAACTCTTGCTGCACAGCCACGCTGCTGTAATGGAGGCAGTATGAGGTTATTATGGTCTTGCATAAGGTCTTCCCTGAAAAAGACCTCATCTGGATGGGAGCACATATTGTTTTAAAACCTGTATACACTTTTCTGCATTGATAGTGTTTTTCCAGATGTGTTAGATGTGTCCATGCCAAAGTCACTAATGCACTCCCATATCTTCAGAGAGGCAGACTTTTGAACTGTGAACATATGAATGGCTAGATGGTGCCTCTCAACTTTAATTCGGAGAACATGGCTTCTATTTTGTATAGGCTTCGCCTTTTAAGGCTGTCGCTGGTGGGTTTATCCCGTCATGCAAAGCATTGCACTGAAAAAATTAGTCCACGCCCACCTGTTGTGTGGGCCCCACCCGGTCCATATAAATTAATTTAAGAGCGGGTAATCGGCTCCCATTTTTCTTCAGCAAGCGTATAGCACTGAGCTTCAACTAGACAATGTCCAGCACCAACGACATCCGCCTGTGTCCGTCCTGCAAGACCGGCTACATGCTGAGTTTTGACCGGCATGACATCTGCGAAGGATGCCTGGGTCCCCGACACGCCGACCTTGCTTCCTCCTGCCACCTCTGTGATCTCCTTCCCCCGGAGGAGAGGCAGAGGCGAGCAGCCTTGTTCAAGGCTAACGTCGAGGAGTGCCTCTCCGTGGCGGGGGACTGTTCGCTGGATGACGCCATTGATTTTTTTCAACGCCGGCTCTCGGAGCGAATCGGATGGTTCCTCTGGGACAGGCAACGTCAGCAGCAAGCTCCGCTGCTCACTCCCTCCTGGAGAGCATGGTGTTGGGACGAGGGGGGCCGAGCAGATGCTCGCCGCCCTGACCCCATCTGGCCTCGTTTCCCAGCAGTGACGTCCTGGAACGAGGCTGCAGCCGGACCTGGTAGACTGAGAGCGCCGGTTTCCACATTGGCGCCCATCACCAGAGTGGTGGGGTTTACTGAGCGGAGTTTTCCCTCGGTCCCCCCCGGAGCCAAGCCTGGTGGAGGCTCTCAGAGCAAAGATGTCCAGGTTGGACCAGCGTCCTGTGCCTCCGGGGAACCATGACCAGACGGTGACATCACTCTCCAACCGAGCTCACCAGTGTGCGTTCCAGGTGGCAGCAGCGAACAATAATGTTGCGCTGCTAGCATACAGTATTTCAAAGAGGCTGGAAGGAACAGACCTGCCTGAGGAGACGAAGAGCTCCCTCTGCAAGGCGTCTGACGTCATCCTGAACCTGTGCGCCTCTTCTGCCATCTGCCTGTCTCGCATCGCAGCCTGGATGACAATGGTTCAGCGATCCACCTGGCTCCGTCACTTCCCCTCCCTGCCGGAAAAGCTGCAGAAAGACTTGTTGGAGGGCCCCATCACGACGGGCGAGCTGTTCGGAGCCAACTTCAAGGCCATGCTCGAGAACTCGAAGAAGTCGGAGGAGGTGTCGGAGACTGTGCGCCATCTGGTCAAGTCGCACTCCTCCCCCCCCCGCCTGCTGGAGAGAGCGATGTGGCCAAAGACAGCAGCAAAGATGCGCCACAGCTGCAGCAGCCTCTTCTCGCTCCGCCGCCGGCCCCTCCCGTCAGAGAACAGCCCTCCTCATCCCGGCATCCAGCGGTACAGCGTTTCCCCAGAGACTGCCAAACAGCCAACAGGCGCTGCCCTGGAACAACCAGACGCAGGGCCCACAGGGGAGAAGATTCAAAAAATGACTCCTTGCGGAGGATGTGTGTGCACAATGATGGTTCGAGCTTTGAAATAAAACGTAAACATCATTCAGCCTGTCTGTCAGTTCGGATGACCTCACAGCGGCTTCTCCTCACACATCCTCCACACAAAACAAGCCGGTGTCCTTCAAACAGGTTTTTTTAAAATCACCGCAGCTCAAAAAAACACACAAAAGGCGCGTGTGACACAGCCAAAAGTGAATGTTTTCAGCAGACCGAGTCCAGTGGGAAACCTCGCTCTCAGCCCAAGCTGTGCGCTGCCTCCTCTGACCGCAGCGGTGACAAACGCGTGCCCCTGCGGCAGCCTTCGCCGAAGCAGCACCACATGGCCAAGGGCACGCGCGCCTCCCCTCATCCTTTCGAGAAAGCCTCACCTTAGGTCGCTCGGAGCACGCCTTCGCAGCACATGACGGCGGTAGAGGCTGTAAATCGGT